GGCTGCAACATTTGGCCTTCTCACACGGCCTCTCGCGGGTAGGATGGTTATTATTAGCTTTCCGATAACACCCAGCACCATAGAGAAATACAGATGTGCTGTGGCAATTGCAGAGCCTGAACCAACATTGTATGAACACGGGGTAGCAAAAGCAAGGTGAATCACTGAGTGACTGAAGAGCTCGGGGGCCCTATCGCTTCCTTTTCAAGGATGGCTTTGTTACCGCAAAAAACACGTAGAGAATCGTACAGCTACTCAGTAATGCTGCTGTTGCAGCACATTCATTTTCTGCAGAAGGGAGGAAGAGAAGAGCAGTCACGTACGCTCACAACCAAACGTGCCCCCAGTTATCACTGACACCTTAGCAAGGGCTGACACACAGACCGCTAGAAATGTCATCCGAACAACAACAGGGGAATATGGCTGTTGAACAGCCTATTTGCAGTGGGTTTCATGCGGAGGGCACTTTGCAAGCAGTAGGTCAGGGGGGTGGCAGAACGAAACGCAAATAACCCGCCATCGACACCAATTTTGAGATTGAAATGCCCGAGTGCCTGCTTCCTGGCACAGATGCCGGCTAGGCAGGTTGCGCTCTTCCTACCTTGACTCTGGAGCGACTCTGCCATTACCTGTGTCCCTGCACTGGCAGATCCAGCCGAGGAGCCCTGTAAAGATCTCAGTCGCCAATGCTATCACCTTCCAGCCCTGACTAACGGGGTATGGCATCGTCATCTGAAACCAAAACTGAATCCACACCGACCCCCGTAAGAGAGAGTTTGGAGTTTAGCAGGTCGACATAGTAATTCTTTTACACCAAGCTTCCATTTCTGTGCTGTTAGAGCAAAAAGCCTTCAAAGAATAAGACGCCAGCACTTCTGCCTATTTGATAAAGAGCTGGGAAGCACACGCTGGTTTTCCGGACACCAAGAGCGGTATGACAGTTGCATTAGCATCTAGAACTTTTGATACCAAAGAGCCATAAGTACTTGGCAAAGCACAGTAGAGATTACTTTTAAAATTATAGTACTCTAGGGAAGAAAAAAAAACAAACCCAAAACCCAATGTTGTCCACAGGTCAAATTCAAATGATTACTAACCAGATGCAATGAAATCCAAATGACTCACCTGACTAAACCAGGAGAGATTGTATTGTGAGATACCATTGCTTTACCTCATCTGTGTATATTTTCTAATTAGGAAAGAATGAGAAGCCCACGCCAAGTGAATTCAGCATTATCCATAAATTGTAGCAGGATACAGTTGTATGTTATGATAAACTCTACACCACCATTACTTTTCTTAAGAAAAAGATGCAGACTGGGTATCAACCTGTTTGCTTCTTGCTTAGAACTAACAATTTTATTTCCAGATATAAAAAACACTCAGCCCCTAGAATTGACAAATATCTGATAAAACACGTCTAGAAATCACAGAGCAGCAAGCACGGGATGCAAAGGCCACGTCACCTCCATAGAGATCCATGGCCCAGCTACAGCAGATCCCATTAACTTAAATGATATATATGTACATATATATATATATACACACACACACACACTGGAAGGGGAGAGGAGATTCCCTATGGCGATCCAGCTCCTTTTCTTATATCTGTGCCCTTAACAGAAAGGGCTTCCACAAGGCTTTGCTGCATCCGCCAAGGCCTCTGCAAGAAACTCCCCGTGGTTTCAGGGAGAGCTCTCAACCAGAGGACACAGTCTTTGCTCAAAGCCCATGAGAATTTCTTTGCTGTTAACTCAATAGAAACAGAATTTCACATAGATCATTGTAAGGAGTGGATCTACTCCAAGATAAGTGGGTTCAGCCTCAGGTTTTCAGGGAACTGATGAATAATACTCTCTGTGAACATCTCCCTTATTCTCGAAAACGAGGTGCGATTTCCTCTCGTTATTTGAGGGCCTGTAAAGATATCTTTGTCTGTTCACATTATAAGGCGTTCAGAGGAGAAAAAATAGTCTCTGTTCCCTGGTAACAGTCTCTGTATGTTTTCAAAAGCATTATTTTAACAAAAAAGTAAGGTCGATCATGTGGCTTACAATTCTCCAGTGTTTAAATACACGTTCTTAAAGAAGCAAGGAAATAAAGGTATCGCCTTCTCTTAGTCCTCTTTGAACATACATCATAACGACAATGCATCTCACCAGCCTCCTATTATAGAATTATCATTTACACACAGAACCTGTTCATTCCTTTAATTCTCTCTTTAAAACCCAGCTTAAACCAGCCAGATAAAAATCACTTATTTACTGTATTAAATTGCAGGGGAATTTTGCCTAAGGACTGAGGGTTGGACTCCTTAGACTCTCTCTGCTTTAATTTGTATGTATTTTACGGTATTAATTTCAGTCAGACTTGTGGGAAGCCGAGCCAATCAGATGCTTGCAAGACATTAGTTATCCAAACTTCATAATTCATACACTTTTAACTGCATTTGTTTAATTACTGAGAACGACAGTTTCTAATGGAGAACAAAGCAAATAAAAGTGAATCAGAAGATGGAACATCGCAATACCAATTCAGAAAATTGAGTAAGAGTGAGCAAAATAAGTATATTATCTTAATTTAGCAAAAGAGTCAAGAAATCATTATACAAATTCATTTATGATTACATTCTACTTGTCTTTAATTTTCACTCTTCAACATTAACATTAAACATTGTAAATGTATGCAATATTTATATAAAATTAAATAACAATATTGGAAAAATAAATACACTTTTACATAAATACATAAATCCACACTGCTGAAAAGTTTCAGCTAATACTATACTCTTGTTTCAAAAGTGACCAAAAATATATGGTAGTGACACTCCATCTGAACAGATGAAGTACGCACAGCTACAGAGTGATGTTTGCAGTCGATGACAGAGCTAAAGCAAATCAGGCGATACCACACTTAAAAAAAAAAATTAATTGGACTTTACTACCTACAGTAGTAGCACGAGGTAGACATACATGTAGTGTATTCTGTAGGAGGGACATGAAACCACGGTCCCCTATTGACCCCACAGATAGGATTGAGTCTTCAGACACAGGCTGCAGTCACCTGTGTCGGAGACAAACGACACTTAAGCAGTAAGACCTGAAAAATCAAGTCACTTTGTGGGAAAAATCCTGGCTGGGCTCTGCAACCCCTTCCCTGGGGCGGGCAAAAGGAGGCGAAAGCTGTTGCCGTCGTGTATTCCTGGAGCCCGAATGAGCGACCGCCTCCGAGGTCGGCCAGCAGCACCATCAACCCCAGCAGCGCTGGGTGGGCACCCACTTCATTAGTCACTTAATTAAGTGACAGCGGTGGCCTTCCGCCCAGGAGAGCCACCTGAGACAATAAGCTGGGGCCTGACGGCAGCAGCTAGAGCCAAGGGAAGTTCTCCAGGGTAAAAGAAATCCCCCAAATTCAGGACTGCGCCCAGCATTTAAACACGGTGGAGCAAACCCAGCCCTAGCGGCTGCTGCTGCGGCAGGGAAGAGGCCAACTGCTGCGAGACACCAAAATGCAGCATACCTCGGCCCACACCTTCGGTTCTTGCAAACGTTCCAGCACCGGTAATAAGCGTTAGCAGCAATTTTTAGTTGGTAGTTCTGGGAGAAAAACAACTGCACGGCTTGCTAGTTCTGCTTAGCTCAGCTCACTCGTTTTTAGCACCAACTATCAGTGTACAAGTGATACATTAGCACCTCGAATGAAATATTTCATATCACTGTCCCTTGTACTAGTGAAGCACCATATAAACACTATTTCAGCAGTTTTACGGCTGTTGCATAACTCACTGAGGTATGATAAAAATATTGAGAAATGTTACCGAAAGCATCCACGTTACTGAAAGCATCCACAGAAACCAGAGGGTAGTTACAGTCTAGCAAGATGACCTCTCAAACCAAAACTGTTAAGGAAGTCTAATATATTACAAATAGGCCTCTTTTCTTCTTTTCTCATAAAGTGCTTTTGAGTCAAATTCATTTTTAAAAATCTCCTTTAACTACTTCATAACAAAATATACAATAAAGCTCAGCATTTATTTGAAGGCCACTCCAAAACCAGCACATCTGTGGTTTCCGCCCCATCCGGAGGCGCCCCACGTTGCACTCGCGTTAGCGGGGAGTATTTCAGAGCTGTGGGGTGCAACGCAATGGCCCAGACCCGCTGCGCCCGGCCACTCTGCCCTCCCGAGCCGCCCCAAGAGCGTCTCTGTGCAACGGGCTCCTTCAGCAGCAAAGCAGCATTTTCAGCCTTCTCTGCTTTGTGATCGGAAAACGCTCATGGTTTTAAGCCTTCCTACACCCTGCTGATCCCTTGCTGATTTAATGATGTCTAAAGCAGCAGCTGGAGATCAGGCCAGACACAAACTGTCCAGAATCAGAGAAATGCATGAGAACAGCTTACTGGTGCCTCTGCACAGTACATCTCCCCTTGTGTTTTACATGGGAATAGAAACACAGCTATATGTTAGCATGGGTGTGAATGTGCATGTGTTTCTACATAAATGTGTGTGTGGGAACACACACACACACACACATCTATACGCACTTGTACATGCCTTTGAGTTGATGCAATTTAGCACAAATTTCCCCCTGTCATCTTGTTTTTGGCAGGGAACATGCAGCTTGTAAACCAGTAGGTGCGCAGTGCAGTATTACCATTAAGTATCAGTTCAATTTAACTTCGGTTGAAATGTACTGCTTAAATGCCAGGGTTTAAATCCAAACGCAAAGAACTCAGTCAGAATCATAACGCATAGCGCTAGCACTGTGTCATAAAACGGACAGTTGGTTACTTAGCAGAAAGTGCCTTTTAAATTAAAGGACTTGAGCTCCCCTAACGTAAGCCCTTCCTGAACAGGTGTTATTCTGAACATATTGTCAAGAATCCTCTGTAAGTGCAGTTTTAAGACATGAAGCATTAGCACCTTGTTTTGAAGCAAGTTAAATCTGTTGTTACGGAACATCCAAAAACGGTTCACAAAGAGAAAGAGTTTATGGCCGTACCGAGCTCCAAGGACCAGCGCTCCACGCAGCATCTCTAGGACAGTCCTGCATATTGCACTGCTCTCTGTCCGGTGGCTTGTCAAGGATTTCACAGCTCAGATCTGTAAACCTTTCTCCATTAGGGCGCTGACATACCACCAGCCGCGTTCTTGTCCCTGCCCCGCATGGTTTTGTGCACTGCAAGTCAGCACAGGACAAGAGAATTACAATTTTGGTAGCTAAAATTCTGCCTACTGGTAGCTCTAAGCACTAGCATCCCTCAAGACCTGGTGGCTATTTCGTTGCGAACCAGCCAGGTCCTCCCCAAACAGCATGAGAGCCTCTGACGTCCCACCAGCTGTTCCAGTTCCTCAGCTCCCAGAGTTACTTGTCCTGCTTGACAAGGATATTGCCCAGCCCAGCATAATATGAGAAGTTAACATCTGTAATCACTTGTCTCAGAAACATTTTCTGAAGGGAGCAGTATTTTTAATAAAAAAAAGTTAAAATAGACTCTTAAAAAAAAAACACTCCTCAACTTTTGCAAAATTTGCTTTTACCTGGGAACAGTTTTTTTCCATGACAAACAGAATTGAAAACACCATCAAGCAGTTGCTAGGGTTTACTCGTTTATCAGAAGCTGCCTTTCATGCTCCAGTCTTTCTAAAAAATGTTACCAAAATTTCCCTCTCTTCTCCCATTTTTCAGCCACCCGCTAATGAAAACCTGCCCCCGTGCAGGGGGAAGAGGATTAACGTTGTGCTCACCTCTCCCCAGTTGCCATAAGCCCACTGCGGACAGGGGCCAGATTCGCACGATCTCTGCTCCATGGGTTTGGTTTTCTCATCGCAGTCGTTTGCCGTGTATCCGTTTTCGTCCTGGCACACCACGACCCGCCGCTGGAAGCCCCCCGCACACGTACTGGAGCACTGGAAGACACAATTGCCCGCAGATGCTTTGAGCCCAGGAATAATCATGTATTCCCAGCTCCTTCCCAGTGCGGTGCACCATGGGAACACACAGCTAGAAACTTAATACGGCCAACAGACATTATTAACTTCAAACCCCAGCTATTAGTAATAGTAGTGCAATGACTTAGGTGCTGACTAAGCAAAGAAAATAAACATGAGCACAGTTTTAAGGAGGTGAGTAACCCCCATTGCCTTCGCTGCAGTGTTTAACATCGCATTCATGCTTAATGCCCTTTAGGGACTTCTGTGATAGTGTTTCAAGCCCTGGTGGGGGGAGAGGAGCCGGCATTAAGGCTCTGTTGTGCTCTGGCAACAGCACTGTGTGGTTTTAAGCATCCCAGGAGATGGCCAAGAAGCAGAGTTTGGCCATTGCCTCGGAAAACGATGCCATCAGCTTTCTGCCTGGAGAGCCTCGGTGAAGCCCGAGGGGAACGAGAAGCGAGGCCTGCACCCCGCTGCAACACTTCCTTGCGTGAGCAGAGAGCGGTGAAAGGATCCCTCCTCTCCCTGCACAGCGACATTAAAAAGGCCAGAATTTGCCCGGAAAAGAATAAGCAGAAATAAGAAAAATGGGAACACTTACAGCACCCCAGGGGCCAATCCGCCACTGATTGCCTCCTGGTATATGTGCGCGGTTTCGGTTCGGGCTGCCTCCCGGCTGCAGCTTCAGCCGATGATCCGGATAGAGGAAAGGGTGGATGGGACTGCCGTAGTCATGGCTGTTTGGATGACAAGGAGACATGGAGCAGTCTTGCTCGGTGGCGGGCAGGTCATCCGGATCGCACTCGCTTCTGTCCACCAGCTGGTCACTGTAATTGATGCAGATCACTTGTCGCGTTGCCTTACCTTGACCACAAGTCACTGAGCACTGCGTTACAGTGGGGAAAAAGGAGACACGGTCACATTTCCGGCTTTGAAAAAACAGACAGACAGTTAGTGCTAATACAGAACAGATGAAAACCTTGATCTCCCCCTTTTTTAAAAAGATAAACGTAACAGACTGCTGAAACATTTTTCCAGCAACGAGGTCTACACAGCTCTCCTGCACCAGAGAGCGCGATGCTTACGGAGCTCCACTCCAAGGCCTTCCACTGCCCGCATGGTGTCACGGTGCACGTTTCTGTGGCTGGGGGCTTTGGGGGGGGGAAACAAGCTGACTCGTCAGCCACTGAGCCCTGGTCATCACGACAGCTGACGTACCGCATCCTGGTACCTTTTCCACACGTTGCTGAGCACTAGGAAAGAACAACAAGCAAGTCCACTAAGGAGTTTCCTGTTATATATGGCAAAGGCGTTGGAATACCAAGTTCATCAAACGTGCTTAAAAATATCACAGCATCTACTGTAAAATAATCCTGAAAGTATTATGACACATACTTACCGGTGTCCAGGATCCAAATCTCCACTGCGTCCTGTGAACGCCTGATAGGGATCTCTTGGCTTCGGGACTATTTGGATGGGGAGGACACGCTGCTATTTCGCAGTCCTGTATGTGAAATACATGAGGTAAAGGAAGAAAATAAAGTAGACCATAAAGACTGCAGATGTTTCAGGTAAGCCACCTCCTCAATATAATTATGAACAATATACAATGCCTTGAGAAATTGGCAACCCGCATGCTGTTCATTTGAGTTTTGGCAGGCTTTCTCCTTGCATCTTCATGGGGAAATCAGCAAAGTTTCCTATTAATACCTCTAAGGGCTTCACATGCAGAACTTCAATGGTCTTTTGGCTTACTAGGAACTCTAAAATGGGGATCTCCGTAACTATATGCCACCTCCATGCATCCAAACCAGACGTCCTGAGGCAAGAGATGAAACTGCATTAAGAGAGTTCCTCTGGCAGGACCACGAATCTGCAAAGCAGCCCCTCTGCCTCCCTTCAAAGCTTCCCAAACCTTCTTTCCTGCAACCCACTCATTAACAGCTCTGCTGCTGAGGTGTTGAGACTGCTGCTCCGTATGCTCAGCTGCTCCTCGATTCCCTGCTGCCCCCCAGACTGCCTCTATCTACTGGCTGATCTTTGCCTCACCCAAAACCCTGCAAGGTTTTTGGGACAGGCACATTGTCCTGTTTGGCATCAATACAGTGCCTAATAGGAGGGCTTTGGTCCCATCTGGATCCCCTGGGAGGAAAAGCAACAGGAATGATGAATAGCCATAACTTTACTCCATGAACCTATGAATGCTTGTTGCCAAAAAGGGGAAATTAATACTGATCTCCACTGCAAAGGAGAGATTGGCTCCTGACAAGTGCCAGATTCCCACATTACTATCATTTCATGTATACTGGAGATGTGCATGCTGAACAAGAGTTGATGACAAACGGGTTTTTTACCCTTCAACTACAGTTTGATGGGTCTCCATACATGGGAAAAACAGCCCTTTCCTAAATGTCCTGGCCTTAGTTAAACTCTGTGAAGTCATGCAGGACTGAAGCCGAGCAGAGCTTCTTCACTACAGCTTCTCTAGATGATAGATAGAGGGTAATATTCTGTTTTATTTAACTCCTTCAGATACCACAGGACACGTGCTTGCAAGGGGAATTTACACCTGCAGAGTTTGCTTCCAAATACAAGCAAACCCAGCGTGGAAAGCCTCTTCAGTAAATATGCAAAGGATGTCCAACATTTCACAATTTATCAGCCCAGAGGGGACGTAGCTAGGATTGTAGCTGGCACATACACTATATTGGCACATCCAGCATGTGAGAAACAACGGCCCCTAGTTGTCATTAGCGTTACACAGCAACAGTCCTGCAGCCAAGCAAGTCCAGATCGCAGCCAAACATCTAAACCCAGTGCAAGCCTAAGGGAGGCGATCTGCTGCACTGAGACCCCAGCCTCTCATGCTAGCAAATACTGTCCTATCTTATCCTCATGTTCTCTGTCTATCTTCCTACAACCATCCATTACCTTTTACTTAGCTCGTGAGCTCTTAGGACCAGGTTTAGTTCTGAATCTGCACAGGCCCTTGTGCACCCCATCCTATGACTGGAGCTAATCACAATCAAAGGTAGTCTTTGTCCCAGGAGGTCTTGATGCCCTTGTTTCAAGTTTTCTATTACCTTTTTGGCAATCTGGTACTTCGGAGAGCAAGGTTAACCTCATAAAGAGGGGCTGGTGGGAACACCACAGACATATCCTCAGTGTTCTCCGCACAGACATATCCTCAGTGTTCTCCGCACAGACATATCCTCAGTGTTCTCCACCCCACTGAGATGTTGTTGGTGCTCTTGATATCTCTGTCCCACCTCTACCAAAATAGTATGCTGTGCAGCACCTCTCCAACAGGTAGTAACAACCTTAATTTTAACAGCTCTGATGCTAAAGGTATGAAAACGAAGGGAAGGAGGAGATGGTGCTCTCCTGGCCGCGCACAGCTGGAGGACAGCCATGCTGTTCGGCGCTCCTAAGTTCCCTTCAGATCAGGATGGTAGGCTTGCTCTGCACAAAGCAGCTCCACCGCCTCTTGCGCTGCAGAGCAACCGCTTTGTCGCCTCTAGGTGGAGGGACCATGAAGTAGAGCCTCATCTCCTACTGCACCACCTGGGCCTCTGTTGAAGGCCCTCAAGACACCCCTGCAAAACTGCAGTGTCGATGCCTCCAAACACGTTGGCCTACCCTGCGGATGGTGCGAAGACTGCATCCTTCCCTACTGGAGGACACCCTACGCGCTCAGGAGCTGGCAGGAAACACGCTGGGGCTCGGGCTTCTGACACAGAGTGTGCGACAGACGTAACAAACCTTGAGCGCTGCTCCAAGGAGTGCAGTCTCAAAAGCTGCCCCAATTTGGGGGGAACGCATGCCATGCGCCCTGCTCGCTGCCAGCTCAGCCACCAGGAGGGCACGTACTGAAAGGGCCGTCCAGCAGCTCTGCCGAGACCTGGCGGCACAGGCCGTGGGGCTGCCTGCATCCCCACTGGGGCTGATCGTTGCTGCTTCTCAAAGCTGAGAGAGTGGCAGTGACTTATACCCCTCGGTGAAGGTCTGACCCACTGATACTCGAGAGCACTTTCAAGAGCATGGATCCCCTAGCAATAAGGACAACTAGTTAAGAGGAAAGGTTTCTTATACTGTTATTCATGCCTGGGGGCACAAGAACAAAACATGCAGATGGGAACAACGATACATACCTGGGTATCTGTTGGCCTGGTCGCAGCATTGCACTCATTATCATCCACCACCGACACATAGGTGCCTACCACGCACTTCACTGCCCTCATCTGGTAGCCTTGTCCACAGGTCATCGTGCACTGGGAGGGAAAAGAGAGGAGGAAAGGGCCAGGGTCTGAGCACCCATTTCATTTAGAAAGTATTAACCAGCCTAGCTGAGCGCATAGCAAGAGCAGCAAAAAAAAAACCCCATCCTTCCTTCTGGTTTCTCTCCATTTGAAACATTTCAGCTTCAAATTAGGTCAAAGTTTTAATTCACTGCTCCCATCAGAGCCTTGCACGCTTCACTTGTTGTCCTCAGGTACGAAGGTGTGAGTGTTTAAATGATTTACTCTTCTGAACACAGTGGATTAAGATTTGGTAGAACCTGCATCATACCTTACTTTAAAACTAGCTGTTCATACCCACAGTAGCACAGTTAGCTAATAAATAATTTTGCTGATGGGCAATAAGTCTGGTTGGGACAACTGGTCTGGGTTTGCTGCTGTTCTTTTAAGCCAAGAGTTAACAGCTTTGCGGGAAATGAGATACCAGAATACTCTGGATGAAACAAGCAATTTGTTTTTTTATATAAAAAAAAAACCTCAAAACTAAAAACCACACAAACTGGAAAAACATTAAAAACAACAGCTATTCAATGGGAGCAGGTTTTTTGTGAAAATTAGGGCATGTATTTAAGTGCCTAAATATGGATTTAGGAGCGTAACCTTGGAAACCCTTTTTTTTGAAAATCACAGCCAATTTAGTATGACACAGATTAAATTTAGCACAAAGGCCAGGTACTGCTCCTGCTGCCCATATGCTGAACTCAGGCGAACAGAGGGTTGTTTTTGTGTGCAAATCAATTAACACAGTTATGCCACTGAATCGAGATGAAATGGTTACGGCAGGCCTCTTGGCAGCACTGCGCGACACCAGCAGCCCATGTCACACCATAACGGGGAGAAAACGGCAGCTTTACGGTACCTGCCCCCACGGTCCTACTTGCCACGACGCACACTCCTGCTGCTGACAGCTCTGCACCGACTCCGGCTTCGTTTCGGGATCGCAAAACCTGTCGTTTAACCGATCTTCGCCGAATTGGCACCAGGTCTGGCGATGTTTGTGCCCTTTCCCACAGGTGACCAGGCACTGCGAGGAGCAAAGCACAAGCTCAGCGGCGCCAGCGGAAGGAGGGCGAGCGCTGCCAACTGAGCACCTGCCCAACGGCTTAAAAACAGACCGGGAGACCTGCCGCAAACAACCACTTAGAAACCGGTGCTGAGAGGTGGGTCTAACTAATGACCACGTGCGCTGGAAAACACATGAGCCTTTTTCCAAGACAAGGGATTGCCTCTCAGGAATTGGTCCACGGCAGACTGGAGTGTTGAAAACAGCCATGCCGGGAAACTATAGCAAGGGCAAAGCGAGACCATGCTCTTTGTTTTCAGAAAACTTGATCAGTGGCTAAATGCTGGTCTAAGCCTGGTTTGATAGTGCTTCAAGAAGGTCAAGGTCCACGTACTCTGAATGCTGCCTTATGGCTGTTTCTTTAACCTTTTTCAAACCATGCCCCTCACACTTCTTCAGATGTGCCAAAGGCAACAGAGAAAAGCACAGCAATCGCAAGCGCGAAGTGGACTGGCCAAGACACAGAGTGTGGCGGTGTCTTCCTCCACACTGAGGCAGGTATAATCCACTTCTAGTCACTACTTCAACTTCTAGCAACTTGCTGTATCTGTGAGACACGGGGCAAAGCCTTAGCGCTGCCTGACAGAGCTTCAGCAGGATGCAACAGGGTAACAAAGACTTGCAAAAATAGAGCAAACTCGCTGCCCTTGGAGAGCACGCGATAAAGATCCTGCGACTCCCACAGGCTGTACGTACCTCTTCCACTGCCACCGAATAGCTCACACTCTTAGGAGCTAGAGCCAGAAGAGAGATATTTTGCTGCGAACAACAGTCAGTTAAAAGTTCCCCTTTCCCCTTAATTTCTTTCATTATTTCCTAACACAATGCAATGCACAAAAACGAGAGCTATTTGGCCACAAAGGCGAAGAGCAGCCTTTGAAGAATGCCCTCCTAAATCCTCAGCCCACTGGAAAAGCCTATTAACATGTGGGTTTTGTTGCATTATGAAGGAGCAAAGGACTCCAACTAGCAGCGGAGGAGATGACAGTACTAAACAGCAGGGAGAGGTGCAGCGGGTGCCCCGGGGCACTGCCCTCAGGCTGTACAAAGAAAACAAACCGGTACTAATTCCAGTGTGCCCTGTTTACGGATGAGTGGGAAAACAGAGGGTTTCCTTGCAGGACCAGTGCATCACGGTTCAAGGCTTCAGCCTGTGGGTCCCAGCTGGTGAGCAACACCTACCTCGGACCAGTCGCCAGTTTTCCATTGCGGGCACAAGAAGTCGCTGCATCGCTGCACCGTCAGCTTCTCCTGCTGACTGCATTTACTGTCATCCAGGACGTCATTGTAGGTGTTAACACACATAGCTCGCCGCCGCCGCGTGCCCCCACCGCAGCTTTTCGAGCACTTGAAAGAAGATAAACTAAGTAAACACTCTGCCATCCTACCACAGACCAAGAGCCCATTTATTTCCTTATCTCTTCTTACAGTTGGAACTACAAAGAGAACTATTTCAGAAGAGAAAGCATAAAACCTTTGGAAGAACAATTTGTACTTTAAGTAACTGGCTGTTACTTTATATATTCCTTTAAAAATCCAATCTTGCTAAGCTTAGTAATATCTTGTGGCAATGAGTTTCACAGATTCATTTCAGGTTATAACCCTCTTGCTGCTTTTAGACGTGTTGCCTTTCAGTTCCCCCAAGTGGCTGTTGCCATATTCACATTTTAGGAGAGGTTAATTCTACTTGTGAGATTTGGCTTCCCTCTAACCAGCCTCCCCTCCTTCACCACGCGCGCTCTGGAAAGCCCTAGAGTCTTATCGTTCCCTTGGTGCCGCCTCTGCCTTCAGGACTATTCTTGCACATTGAAAAGCTTTCTACTAAAAAAGAATAAAGAAAACACTTTTCAAAGATCCTCCACTGATGGCAACACATCTTCGCTGATGCCAGGAGTGCCAGCAGCATGACTAGCTTGCATGGGAGAAGACAGCCAAGTGGGCTTAGCATGATGAAGACCAATGTCAGGATACTTAAAAGCATAAATTAATCCCAGTGGAAAATAAGGAGCATCCGGCTGACTTGGACTAGCATCCTCAAGAAAAGGCAATGAAAGCAGAGCCACCGTGGCCAAGTTTTACAGGCCGTTTACAGACTTAGCAACTTGAGAGTGCCCTCAGCGAGGACACGTGTGCAGGAGACTCAAGCGCCCCTTACCTCGGTCCAGGCCGAGTACCGCCAGCCTCCCACGTTGCAGTCTCCCGTGCACTTCTCCCTCGTGCTCGGCTTAGGCAGGCTGCTGCAGAAGCGGTCGTCGACCTTCTCCGTCTTTCCTTCCAGCCGGTTGTATTTGGAGCAGTAGATCTCCAGGGTGCGGTAGCCCAGGCCGCACTGGGCAGTGCACTCACTCCTCCTCGCCACGTGCCACCTGAGGGAAGGGCAAGCAGACCCCGTCAGCCACCGTGGCGTGGCGAGGCAGAAAGCCCGCAGGAACGCGCCTGCCTTGGGGCCACGGGAGGAGGCGGAACGAGGTGCTGAGATTTAGGGCTACGTGCAGATAAGACCCTTTGGGGCATTTACATAAACAATGAACACACGTGCTTTAACTGGAAATCCTAACCGTTTCCAGCACAATCCAATGCTTTGTGGCTTCAAAGCCCTCCAGGAATATTAGGCAGTTAACTCCAGCATTGCTCCTTGGAGGGAAAAACCTGTTACGTTAGCAAAGCTAGAAGAATAAGATCAAGAGGATTTGGAATCAACAGGGCCTTAGTTGCAGGCAGCCCTTACATCCCTGACGGCTTTCCCAACTTCTGCATTTCCCCTTCTCAAGTTTCCAACCCGTTGCAATGGCAACGGCTGTTACCGCGACAACCCAACCTGCAGCCAGGAAAGAGCTGGCCTGTTTTCACTCCAGATTTAACACAGCAAAGAGACACCCCTCAGAAAACCCTGCAGCCTAAATTGCCTCACCAGCAGCCATTTAACACCACCGTATTTACGCTCTGAAATGCAAAACCAGTTGCTTTCTAAAGGAAGATGGGTCGGAGCTCCTTGGGAGACAGCCCATCAATTCCAGCCCCGAGCGGGGATGAACTTGCTGAGAGCTATCTGGGGACAGCCCCAACCCAGCTGCGCACTTAAGCCCAGGCTGCACTTTAAGCATATGATGATAAATCCAAGTCTTAGTTACTCTTCTGCTTTGGGTACATGCTTTACCCTGTTTACGGGCTGTTTGCGGGACCACGCCGAGCATTTCTGATCCAGGCAGAGGAGAACTTCAGGCACTGCATTGTATCGCACAGGTAGATTTGTCAGTATTAGGTAAGAGATTCCTTATTGTTAGCACTAATTTCATGCACAAAGAGATATCTGAAGATGTAGAAGAATGCCCTTCCTAAAACAGAGCTGGGGCATGTCACTTCCCCCTTGGTTGACAAAGAGGCAACTTTTATTTATTTATTATTATTTTTAAATCTAGCAGAGGCCGCTGAGAAGAGGAATTATGGCAAGAGGTGAAAGGAAAGAGGAGTAAATAAGATATATATGCACATATATGTGATGTAATATGTATACATGACGGAGTAGGGTGCACCTTAATTCACATTCTGTGCTACAAGGCTCAGTTATTGGATCAGGTTGGGGAATCCGATCACATCTTTGGTCTGACACCGTGAGCTGATCCGACTCTCTCGTACACACAGGTTTCCTTTTTCTTTCTCCTATGCAAGAAGGAAAGACACATCGTTTCAGACGGACGGGAAAGTGGTCAAACCAATTATTTCTCTTACTCTTCATATAATAGCATTTAAGAAACATTTAATTATGCTCTAAATCTCTTCTGGAAACAGGGACAGGGTTAAGACTCTCTAAGAACAGTGGAGGGGGTTTAATACGGAGGTAGACGGGAAAGGAAAGGAAAGGTGCAGCGCGAGGGCGAAAGGAAGGCTTCGTGCACGTAGCAGGGCCAGCGCTGGCGGGTGGGGAGTAGTGGGAACACTGGTGGCTTTCGCGGCCTTAGGAAATGTCACACGACCTTTGCTGTGCTCGGGTTTCCTCATCCGCAAACCAGACGGCAGCACTTACCTGGCTCCGAGCGGGGCGTAAGGATCCCCTGCTTTGAAACAAAAGCACCAGACCAGTGCTACACCTTGCAAGCTGGTACCGGGCACCACAGATAATCTACTACTACGGCCCAGGGGAACCATCAAGCCCATAATGGGAGAATCTCAAAGAAAGCAAATGGAGAAGTATGTCAACGCTGCTGAGATCCCAGAGGAATCCAGGACAAAACAGCCTCGTCTTAAAGCGTTCCCAAACACCTACCTTGGCAGAGTTTACTGCACGGCTGCCACGGGCCATACGCATTCCAGTAAAACTGCTGAGGTTTGTCCTCAATGGGGATATTAAACGTATAACGAACGTCAGGATTGTACAAATTGCCCACTGATAAAACCTGAGAGAAGAGAGATAAACCAGAGTAAACTGACAGGCGTCGCTGCCTACCGCTTTCAGCCCAGTACTGCTCGGCAGACTTTTCCAACGCACAGCGTATACTTCACCTGAAGCGTTATTTCTTGCTCAATCCGATCTGTAGAATTAATCCTTTCAACAGTATTATCCGATCCGCTGTATTCGATCACAGCATTCCCAACTTTGATTTCCCTTTTAAACATACTGACGACAAAGTCTCCATTTAATATAAAGTCTCCTTGACTGTTAGATAAGGCTGCATAGGTGCAAAAAACAAGAACTAAAGACGCAGAATTAACTCATACGTACATATAAAGTGGTCATGCGCTCTCAGTGGCCCCCTTCATTGGGTTCAGAGGAAAAACCTACTGGTACTCTCAGACAGAAAGGATGTAAAGGGAGCAGCAGAGGTTTTACAGGCATTGTCCCTACTCCTTTTTCCAATGGAGAGCCTCATTAAAATGAAAATTGTTCCTAAATGGTCCAGCCATAACCCAGGGCAAAGAGACGGCCAAAAAGGCCTGCCGGGCAGGCGGCCGAACACAGCACACGCAACCTGCATCCCAGATACACCACAGAAATAGGAACGCAGCAAAAATTCTGCCCAAATCTTTTTGCTCACCGTGCAGATGGGGTGGCTCTTGCATTGCCTCTAGGTGTGCTCCTAGGGTACAACCGTGTCAGCTAATTGCCCAAACTTCCATCTTCCAGTGGATAATTACAGGGAGTTTGGTCAGTATCTCTCTCTCTCAATCTCTCCTCCCCCCTTACATTTTTATTATTCCAAATCTAAGGTATGTGGAAGCACTAAAGGCTTAAAGCCTAAATGCTTTATAAAAGGAACAGTTTCCTGAAAACCGCAGTCTGCTGCACAACTTCACACTAATGCGATTATGTAGCTAATTTCCTAAGTTAGTTTCCCCACCATTTCACCCATCACAGCTACATTACTACAAAGCCTCTGCACTGGAAAATCTAAACTTAACACCAAAACAGCACAGGGAACGTTTTACAATGAGTGAGGAGAGATAATGAAGCAAAACTCTGCTTGGTAGCAAACGCATAGAGATGGAGAAAAACTCACAAAGGAGCCTACATACTCGGCCAAATTCCATACCTTGGAAGCTTTAATGCCATTAGGCGGTACTAAAACATGCTAAAGGATTCCTTTCCGTTTACTGTATCTTCCTACAATAGGAATGTGTCTTGGACTTGATGACAACATCAAATTCCTCCTAAATTGTTAAGCAACTACAAGGTTCACAGTATTGAGGGCCCAAGATTTCACACTCAGTGAGCTGCAAAAAAGTGGACACATGCACACTTCTTATTTGCTTTCATTCGGGCCTAATATGAAGAGATGCTTTCCCAGCAATATTAAAGCAACATTAAAGAAGATTTGACTTCATTGCTTCCCAAGAAGATTAAAGGCCCTCCCAGAAGAGCCGAGAAGTCCTCTGGGGCTTGTTCTGGCGGGGACTAGTTTGAATACATACAGCGTGGGGAAGATTGTTTTTTCTAGGAAGATGGAACAATGGACCACGCTTCTCTCCGCTAGGATGGAAAACCATCACCCCTCAGTAAGGTTTTTGCGGTACCGATGTGTGTGCGTTCACCCTGTCCTTGTCTCCTATGAACATCGGAGGATGGCGCAACCTGGCTGGAAACGAACGGCCATGTGCGGGCAAGGAGTGAAAACCTCGCACAGCCCCAATCCGGGAATCAGAAGGATAAGCAGGGATGCTCTCAGGTGTGTCCCTGAATGGTGGGTCTGCTCGTGGACCACCTTTCAGAGCGGCTGCCACCACTGTCCACCACTTCCTTCTGGTGTACTACAGTCTCTTGGGTGACACAAAGAAGTGAGTAAGTGTCTTCACCTGGGCGGAGAACCATCAGCCTATTCCCATTTTTAACACAGCCAGTAACAGCAAGCACTTAGGCTTAGCCCCCCCGTATTTTACAAGAAGGCTCAGCAGCTCAGGAGTATTGCTGCCTCTCCAGCCTCCTTTCAGTTGCATCTCTCTGGCTTTGGGGACAGCTCATTCTCCTTGGACTCGCTCCCCTCTCGAAGCAAATGCACTCCCTTCTGCACGCTTGCTTTTGAAAGTTCGCGCAGAAACTGCCAAAAAGCAGCAGCAATGCCATCCTGTTTTGACAAGCTGTCTTTGCAAAATGAGATGAAGTGCCTTGCTTGGAGATCTGAATAAGTGACCCTAAACTACCAGGGAGTGCAGCTGACCATGTCAGACAAGGGGTGCACGAAAGGAAAGAAACAGCCAAAACAGCAGCCATCTCCCATGGACTCCAAGGAACCACAGCCCCATTCCCCGCTCTGCAAACGGCCAGAATAGACTCCAAGGGACACAAACAGCACAACTTCAAAACAAGCCTTCTGCCAGGCAGGTATAAAATCAATTGTAAAGTGCAGTTGTATTATCTTTGTTATCCGCTCTTCACAGAGCTCGCCGCAGAGTAAATTGCTGCTCAGCATGGTGGAAAAAAGCATGGCCGTGCTAAAAGCGTATGTGCATGCAGCAGAGTGATTTTACATCGCATTGCGAACACATTTTCATGTGGCTCTGGAGACATACCCACCAATTAAATCGGTGATTATGAATTTACAGCAGATAAGGCCAAGTTATCACCAGGTTTAAATTAAAACAGCTTATTCGGTGTAGAGTATTTCTTTACAATTATACGGCACTGTTTGACAGGGACAAGAAGGGCTTAGTCTAAGTGAAATCAGAAGTAGTATTCCCAATGACATAGAAAATAATAATTCTTTGGATTTGTTTGTACATGCATGTCTTTCTAGGCATAGCATATTTATTCTGTAGCCAGAGGATGGTGAAAGCAGAGATGCCCGAGTCCATGATTAGGAAATTCCCAGGGAACTCAGGGGTCTGGTTGGTTCCTAGCTCTGCGCCTCAGCTCCCACCTGCAGAATGGGTTCACTGATCCTTCCCAACTCCAGAGACACCCTAAGGGGATATTTCTTATAATCTGCGAGCCTCTTGAGCTCTGGATCGAGGATGGCTGTCCAATTAGCTGGGCATGCACAAAGAGATGGAGCAAGATGAGGCTGATCATGTTTGTAGGGCACATGAGAAATACTTTCATTCAGAAAACGTCTCCTTAAACGAGCTCTTCATCTTCCTTAGCAGAGAATAGCCAGTAGAAATATCAGCGCAACCAGAAACCAAAGCACAATTCTGGACTGAAACAAGTACGACCACTTACCCAGGTAGTTGTCATCCTCTGGTTTCCCTGAGTAACTGTGCTGACGCACATCAATGTTTGTTGCACCAGCTGGGATGCGGACCACAATGTTATAGCCTAGCAAAGATTTAACAGAAAGTCAAGGCTATTACACAGACATTTCATTCACTTTTTATGGGGCTAAGGGAAATGAAGGAAATTACCTCACATTGCACAAGCCAGTACTTTTCACTTAGGGATAGCATAAATAGTTATAAAATGGAATATGCTATAGCTAGAAGGATTTTGCATTTTATATCAGTGTTTTTGTAGATTAAGTGTGGTAACGGATTTTATAGACCTGCATTTTTCTCTATAAAGTTTTTAGCAACAGATTCTTACCATAATGCACCGTGTTAAACGTGCCCGCAATAGTTTTGCACGAAGAATTATCCCCACCACAAACGCCACATTTATCTCTTCTTGCTTTTGAATTCAGCACATGATCACATCCAGCTTGCTTTAAGAGAAAAAGTGAAAAGCTAGATCGAGCAAATACAGACTAGAACAGCATTTACAAATCTCCAAATGAAACCATACAAAAGATTTGTGCGAAAAAGGTTGCCATGAGACAAATCGTTTTGCTTCCCCACATTTTTCTCCACTGATTTACGGTGTGGCCATCCCACACCATTTTTAAACAAAAGGCTTTTTTCAAAGCAAGAATCAGAATGGCAGTTTGCACCAGGCAAGGCCTTAAGACTGCCTGGGATTTCTTCCCAGAGCAGTTCATTATTACCTGCTTCCTCGATACCATATTTGCTCATGAAATGGAAACATCCCCTCTCCCACATTTTCATCTTTGAAAGCTGGATATGGGTATCACCAGGCAAGGCCCTACTGCCAGCTACCAGCATTGCTCAGTACCAGTCTGCATTGCATGACCTGAGCGCAATTAATCTGTGTACATGCTGTTATCCTACTCTTTACTCTCTGCATATAGAGGTATCCTCAAAGGTAGCAGTCTTTCCCCCACGCTGCAAGAAGCTGGAGAGCTTCTGCATCTGCTTTGCAAGGGGCAGCTGAGCCCAGCAGTGCTGCTAGTTTAGGAACAGGGAAGGAGCCCTTAGCTAGAAAAAAAATCTCTTGCACAGGTTGTTCCCGCAGAGAAAAGCATAAAAAATATTTGCAAACGGAAATACAAAATCTTCTGGGTCTGATTGGGAAGACGCAGGGCAGACCAAAGGAGGAGCCATCATTTGGATGTGAGCTCAGATTTCCACAGACCTCAGCAATGAGGGGCAGATTTACAAGCATCCTCCATGCCAGGCTCTTCCGAAAATCCAGGGATGGCTGAGAGCTTCAAAACGCTCAGGGCTTGCCAGGGGACTTTGTCTACAGGCGCCGGCGTGCAGAGGGTACACAAATACCCAGATGGAGCAAAGCGCAGAAATGCAATCTTTGCTTCACAAAACTGATTGCAGTTTTCACTGATTTCACACTTCACCCTCTCTAAAAAGAAGGGAAAACAATCACCCGGCAAAGCCCCTGCACGCAGATGTCGTTTGTGTCGGGGCCACAGGGAGTCCCGTCGATGACGCGGTCCCGGAGCTGGTAATACGCCGTGTTTCCTGCCACTCGACAGAACAACTTGCACCGATCCTTCATCAGGACTGGGGGGAGGGAAAAAGGAAAAGCAGAACCGTGTTACCGCAACACCATCACCCTGATGCAGCAATTCATAGGGCGGAAATTGAATTCCCTCATTCCCTTACTTCCGCTGTATTTGGGAACCCAGCGCACATTCGTAGGCAGCCCATTGATGTTAAAATGCTTCCCGTCGAAGTCGGCGCATTGCTCATCCCGGAAGTCCTTCTTCAGCTTCGAGCATGGTTCAGTGTTGCACGATTTAAATTTCATTCGCCGACCCACGCAGTATTTCCCACCATTTTTAGGCCTGCAGAAACAAAGAAAATAGAAGTAGGCTGTGCAATCCCTGAGCGTGTATTTACCGGACAGCGTTTTCTAACCCTCCTGTATCCATTCAACCTCTCTCTCCTCAGATGGAGTTGGTCTCCAGACCTCCACCTCTGGCCTCCATCTCCACCAAGCTCTTGCGCGTGGGCTTTGATACCACATGAAGGTCAGGAAGGTGCTGTCATCCAAGACCTTTCTACTGACTGTGGTCGTACAGAGCAAGCCCTGCTGGTGCATCTTCCCATCGGCCTGAACGACCTTGGGATCAGGCTGAAGACAAGATGCAATTCTAGTCCTGCAACGTGTTCAGCACAGCTATCTGTCATACTGTTCTGAAGGCCTTACCTTGGTCCTTGCACATCTTTAACGAATATCCAGCTAAAAAGACCTTGCAGGCAGGTGTCTTACAAAAAGACTATATAAGCAACCCTAAGAAGGGAGAAAAAGAACAAGGGGGAAAAAAGGGAGTATTCGTTCTCTGATGAACGTAGCAGTAAAGAGAAGCCGGAGAGAAGGAGCAATATCTTCCTCCTCAGGTAGGGATTTAGTTCCACACTGAGGGATGCCATAACAGGTGACCATCCCTCCATGACCCCCATTGGTCCTACAGATTTGGTGGCTGGGAGTTTGCATCTGATCATCTGGGTTGCAAATAACCAAACAGCACAACACAAAGGAGAGCTGCCTCCCCTGAAGGGCTGAAAGGCCAGCCTGCATTTAGTCTTTAGGGATTTATAGCCCCAAAGGCTAGAGACTTTTAAATAACTTTATCTTCACTTATTTCAGAAAGAACCATCTGAGAAACCAAGAACAACTTTATGCCCATTTTACAGGAAGAGGAGTACTGTATCAGCTGGATATGATCCAAGCCACATAAAAGCCCGTGGATAAGCCTAGGGGAAATCATAATTTTAAGTTTCCCAACTCCCATATTCAGGTCTCTAGCCATAAAACTATGCTTTTTGTCCTTGCATGTAGACAAAGCTGTTGCCAGATAAGAGCTTACCCCAGGAACTGAGAACACCACCTTCTCTATCCCATTGGAGACAAGCAAGGGGCTCCCGTTGCTGTCAGCAACGGCGTGAGAGCGAGCGGGGCTTGGGAGGTGCTTGTGCCTCATGGACACTCATTTTCAGATGTGGTAATGCTGCTAGAAAAACATCTTTGGAACACAAGCTAGCCTACTTGCTGGCTGTTTAAAGGACATTTCTGCTAGGAACATGGTAAGATTTTGTATGTCCCTCTTAACATACAGCCTTCTGTGAGCCCACCATAAAAAAAACAGAAAATGGCATTCATCGTGCTTTAAATCTTCCAGTAAAAAGCACTGCCTCCGCTGCTCGCTCCTGAAATTGCAAATGCACGAGGCTCCTCCAGATAGGGGGGAGGGAAAAAGGAAAAATTTCCAAGTCTGCAGGAGAGGTTGGAAGAAAGAGAATGAGCTAATACTGCAGACTGTAAAGTCATCCTCTGAGCAGCAAAGCCGGGCGACGCACGAGGAGGTCTCCTCTAGTGGGGCGAGATGGGGAGAGGAGAGGCAGCGGAGCAGGAACGAGCACCTACCGCGAGATTTTTACTCTGACTGCTCACGGCTTCCAAGATAAACTGCCTCTGGGGTATGGCGGGGTTACTACAAGCTACCACTGTTAATAACTATAATAAAAACTTCAGTACCGACCAAGCAGCTTTGTTATTCCCTGATGCTACAGAAGGAAAGATATTACAACGTAAATTAAACAACATCCAAAAGGCAAAAATAAGACGGAGGCGCCCACCACAAGCTCTCCACATCATATCCAGCTGAGGTTTCCTTAACATAACACAAATGGACAACCTGTGCGCACACACGCAAGGGTCTCTACACCCAGCAAGGCAACAAGCTCCTACAGTGGCACATGATTTTTTAGTGTCTCTTAAAACACAGACACATCAACCACCCACCCGGCGCAGCAGCGCCTTTCCTCCCACTAGTAACAATTCCTCCCTCCTGTACTTGAAGGTTACTTGCGACTGAAGTATCACAATTCCTGGGAAATAAACAGGGAAGAAGAGGCACCAAGAGAGGCCCCTGCTTGTCAAAAACTTACTGGCGAAGCAGGGAAGCGAGGCAGACCTCCTCCAGCCCGCCGGCCACCCGGTCCGCACCCCTCCCACGTTTAGCGGATGGACTTGTCTCCTCCAGCAGCACCAACGAGAGGCAGAGCACCACTGCACCATGTTTTCCCTGCCCTAGCCGACACGCAAGCTGCTGTGGTGCAAATCCCTCAGTCCTATCTGAAACACCTGAGGGCAAGCTTCGCCCTTAGGCGCAGCCCTGAGCAATAAGCGGTAACATCAGCTCCACCTGCTCTGAGGACAGCTCTCGGGTGCCATGTGGGAACTAAACTGGTGTCACTTACAAATATACCTGATGCTTAGAAATAAGCAAGTAACAGTGATTAAAAAAAAGATGTTAACCACACCTTGGATGGTGCAGATTTCGGTGTGAATAAGACTAATTTCAGATCACTTCACACCAACTCCGAACCGAGTGAATCTAAACCCGGCTGGTCTGTTCTCCGCCTTGGTTTGACAAACAGCTTTTTCCACTAATTTAACTGAATACGCTTGGAATCACTCCGGCGCTAACCCAGTGCAACAGCCCGCGCAGACCCCTCCTGGACACATTTGCGGGGAGCAATTCCTCCTTTCGCCGGTGGCAGGGCTGTGATTTCCGAGGACACCCTTCAGGGCACCAGCCAGCAAGCGGTTTCTCGTAGCCTTTTCGCATGCAGGCACATTACCTACCGCTCCTACCTCTAGCGTCAAAGGACCGTCCTGGCCAAATCACAACATAGCACCCAGGAAGAGGCGCTTTCTAGCAGCAGCAGTTCTCGGTCTTGGAAGAACACCCCAGATCTCTGGGAGCCGGCATCATTCATGGGGGATTGGACAGGATTCATCATTTCCGCTTTGAAAACATGTATACTTTTGTAGCGCTGCTGCAATTTGACAGAGGCTCTAAATTATGCAAATCTCTAACAGGGCACTTCTTAAAGGAAAAAAATGGCAATTCTGACATTTTTATGGCAACCACATTGCTTCCAATATGAATCTGTTAATACAAAAAAAGTCTCCTTTTAATTGAAGGCAGTTAAGAACAACCTGCAGCGCACCTTTTTTTTAAAAGGGTGCGTCTAATAAGATCTGAATACCCCAAGCAATAAACCTTTTTTCTACACGTGACCCAGGAGATTGAGCTATCTTATTGAGCACATGCGCTTGCCATAAACCGAACTTGCCGTCTTGTTTCAAACTCTCAGATTCATAACTGTGGCAGTAAATCTCCCTGCAACCAGTGTTTGGGCCTTGAACACACTCACGCTTCTGACATTTCAAAACAGCCCCAAACCACTCTGACAATTTTAGGGCATTCTTAAATCTTTAATGATTCAGTATTGCTTTTCACGGAGTCTGAGTAAACAAAACAGCGCTAACCCTGAAAAATAAGTCAGCCTCATATAACATCAATTTTCAGTGTCATGAAGAAATACTGGATCCTTCAGCACTATCTAATATTTTTATGGATAACCATCAACCATGTACCTCAGAGATGGAAGGGGAAGCAACGCACACACAGAAACCCTCTTGCTCTGTCCCAGTTCCCCTTACCTCTGAATCATCTGTTTTATCAAGCAAGGGCTGGTATGGACTCTCGTTTTCAATCTAACAATATTCCCCTTACAAACTCCTGTGCACGCGTGCTTTGCTGGATACCTCCCAGGACGTGGCAGACAGCCCTGGGGAACATTGGGGGCTTATTCTGACCCCATCTTAACAGCTCTTAAACACGTAATGCACCATCTATAAATACTAACCTTGAATATTTTCACTGCAGACCCCCAGGCAACACTGCTCTCGCGTTGGGCCAGGAGAGCTAGGTGCAGGCACGAAACGCTGTTTTTGGGCACACCTGGTATCTGCTCAGGCGCAGGAACCCTAGCAGCAGGAGCTCTGCTCTGGGGCGAGTGAAAAGCCCCCGAAGAAGTGACCGCGGGGCATGCGAATTCATGTGCACGTACACATAACTGCTTGTGCTCATGCACATGTGCTTAATGCTTTGGGGGACTGCAGAAAAATCTCTGAAGTTACAGCATATGCAGAGCACAGTCTGAGATCTCCTTCACAGCATCCTAGCAAGTCCTGGGGTCTGAGTAGCCAACAGCCAGCCCATTCATCTATAGATGTGTTTACACGTCAAACTCGGATGGTTTTCGGCGCAGGTAGATAGTCTAGTGACAGACTGAAATGCAGACATGATCCAGCTCACATCCCCAGATAACACCGACCCACCCCAAAAGCCACTCTCGAAAACAGGGCTCCGAGTATTGACATCGTATGAAATAAGCTTTTCCCCCCCGTAACACGGCAGCTATGCTTTGCTCTGCAAAACGGGGCTCGCCCCCCAGACACCGTACGTGACATGCTGCAGCCGCTGGCGTTGTCCGTACCATCCTGCCTGGAATTCCCGAGGGGGCGATGCTGCTGGGAAGGGTCTGGTCTGGTTAGCTAATACATTCCTGAAGCGTATGTCAAAACACAGTCTGTTTCCATTTCAGAGGCTTACAGCTTCCTACAGTCCTGCAAAGTACTCATCCATGTAGGTGTCAGAGCACATTACAGAGGGAGACAGGAGCTGCAGCCTTATTTTCAGCCCATGGCGGGGGGAGGGCGTTCATTTTACATGCCGGATTTAGCGTAATATTTCATTGGCATGCAAGATACCACCCCAGATCCCCGCGCACAGGAAAGCTTCAAAAGAGCAAAACCCTCGTTCAGTATAAAAGGCCAAATGAAAACTCTCTCGGCTCTTACTCCACGTATGCGAGTTGATTTCTCCCGCTTGACGAAAGGCAGCAAAACAGAGACTAGACCTACTCTGGATATTTTGGGATATTTTTGGATTTTTGAAGCGCTCTGAGAAGCAGGAGAGGCGGGGGGAGCGTGCCGTAGTGGCTTTGCGTC